CTGTGTGCCTTAGCGCGAACTCAGGCATCTTTTGTTCGCAGCATTGGCATTGCGTGTGTGCGTGTGTCATTGTGTTGTCACGTGATATGCTACACGTCTGCACGATGTCATCGTGCTCTGCACAGACCGAGACCATAAAAATGTGTTGTTTACCTAGTCATTGGTGACAAGAATCACATTCACACATGTAGACTACACACATAATGGGGGACCTACCCCATTACCACATAACAACACTACCTGGAACCAATCACGATTCAATGCTACGCTCTTCTCATCAAATATGGACAAAGAGCTGATGACATCATGTCTTAGGCCAGTTAGGGTACAGTCCCATACAGACCAGGGTGGTGTTGGTGTTGTCAATCTGATTGTCGTAAAATTCTATTTTATAACTGGTTGTTGCTAAAAACATGTCACCATAATGACATGGCGGCTCTGAGCAACTTGACAATGACAATGCAGACACTGTACTCGTAGTGAGTTGCTTGAGTGTGGTCTTTGGTGTGGTACGTCTTGTGTGTGGTTTGGTGTAGTACTCAGCAACAGACTGTACATTCGGGTGTTCGTGCGTGAGCAGGTCTACTGTATGTGTAAGCATGCAATGGTGTGTTGGAACCTTGGACTTGGAGGGCTGTTGCTGTTGTTGCTGCTGTCTTTTCCTCTGGCATGTGAATGTGCGTGAAAATCAACCTGTAGTATGTTTATTTTGCCAGTAAAAAGGGCTAAAGTAATTCCACCTCCACCAAACACGCTCTCTGGCCAACCTCACACACCAGCAACACGAATCCAAGGCTTTTGGTGGAGAGCGCGTTTGGTGGATGGGTAATTACTTTATTGATAAACAAGCCGAAAGCTGCTGCTTGTCCTTTGAGAACGTAAAAAGGTTTGTCCTAGTAAACAAATACAGCATAACGTAAAAAGGTTTGTCCTAGTAAACAAATACAGCATAACGTAAAAAGGTTGGTCCTAGTAAACAAATACAGCATAACGTAAAAAGGTTTGTCCTAGTAAACAAATACAGCATAACGTAAAAAGGTTTGTCCTAGTAAACAAATACATCATAACGTAAAAAGGTTTGTCCTAGTAAACAAATACAGCATAACGTAAAAAGGTTTGTCCTAGTAAACAAATACAGCATAACGTAAAAAGGTTTGTCCTAGTAAACAAATACAGCATAACGTAAAAGGGTTTGTCCTAGTAAACAAATACAGCATAACGTAAAAAGGTTTGTCCTAGTAAACAAATACAGCATAACGTAAAAAGGTTTGTCCTAGTAAACAAATACAGCATAACGTAAAAAGGTTTGTCCTAGTAAACAAATACATCATAACGTAAAAAGGTTTGTCCTAGTAAACAAATACAGCATAACGTAAAAAGGTTTGTCCTAGTAAACAAATACAGCATAACGTGAAAAGGTTTGTCCTAGTAAACAAATACAGCATAACGTAAAAAGGTTTGTCCTAGTAAACAAATACAGCATAACGTAAAAAGGTTTGTCCTAGTAAACAAATACAGCATAACGTAAAAAGGTTTGTCCTAGTAAACAAATACAGCATAACGTAAAAAGGTTTGTCCTAGTAAACAAATACAGCATAACGTAAAAAGGTTTGTCCTAGTAAACAAATACAGCATAACGTAAAAAGGTTTGTCCTAGTAAACAAATACAGCATAACGTAAAAAGGTTTGTCCTAGTAAACAAATACAGCATAACGTAAAAAGGTTTGTCCTAGTAAACAAATACAGCATAACGTAAAAAGGTTTGTCCTAGTAAACAAATACAGCATAACGTAAAAAGGTTTGTCCTAGTAAACAAATACAGCATAACGTAAAAAGGTTTGTCCTAGTAAACAAATACAGCATAACGTAAAAAGGTTTGTCCTAGTAAACAAATACAGCATAACGTAAAAAGGTTTGTCCTAGTAAACAAATACAGCATAACGTAAAAAGGTTTGTCCTAGTAAACAAATACAGCATAACGTTAGAAGTTGTACTTAAGACTACAGACTGTACTTTGTACTTGTACAGAGTTTTCCCTTCAATCGTCGTGACGTCATTACACATAACACTAGACATAACAACCCAGTGGCATTGAGTTCAGAATGGAAACTTTTACCAATAGAATACACAGTCTTGAGATCCAGAGTCAGCTCCTGAAGGGTGGTATGGCCCCAGGTCGGTTACAGGGACACTCATTTGCCAACACCCAATTTCAGCAGCTCTGTGTGGTATCATATCTGGAAGTTCCAGCTACATATTGGGCCTCCAGCCACAGACACAGATACCACATTTGCAGCGGATCACGTTAGAAAATCATTTCCTTCTTACATGACGTGTAGAAAAAGACATTTTGTCGGAGATTCTCCCACATATCCACTATGAGATAAACAGCAATGTAGAATACAGACTTCACTGTATGTAAACTATGCTACACATCAACACTGTCTAACTACATCGTCACACAATCAACCACTACATTGACTAAGAGTGGTCACGTTACATTCATGGACATCATCATTGCTATCTATCATTTACAAAGCTACGTAGAACACTGAAACGCAGCGCATTCTATCACGTGACGGAGATTGGCTCAATCATAGTCAATGACTCCGAGCAACTAACGCTCAGCAACATGGCCAAACATTCTCTTTGGAAAATGTTTTCTAAATTCCTTCATCGTTAGTACGAATAAGTAGTTTTGTTCTCACTAAGATCTGTGTTGAGATGATGAGCCGACAAAGTAGCAAACATTTCAGTGAGTCTGTACCTCTACGCACAGTATCAAGTGTAGCACATACATGTACATGTAGTATAAGTACAGCTGGACAGCGTTTCCCAATATCTAAACTCACTCTACAGAGTTTGGGCAGATTTCAATGTTTGCCCTTAAAGACTGAAAATGGCCGGAGAAACATTCTTTACTGGTATGGAGTCATAATTTCACGACATTCCTGTTTAGCCATTGCTGTTGGAAATGAACAGATCTGGGTAGTGCGGTTTGAACACAAACTTCGTAACTACACGTACCTTTTTTATTTTTATTTTATATACTATGTGCACATCCCTACAAAGTAATAGGGGTAATAAAAGAGACAAAGACAACAAAGGAGTAGTAGGTGCTACAAGAGCTGTGCTGGTCAGGCGCAGTGCACTCCTCCGACCATTTCGGTCTCGGAATCGACATGGACTGTGCGGGCCAAGGGGGCATACTATGAATGATAGACTTATGGGAGCATCTGAGAATGCAACAGAAATGAGAAAGAGAAGATCAGAAATTACACAAATGCAAATAATATAGATTGATCATGCTTCAGCTTACGTAGGTCCCTGAGAGAGAGAGAGAGAGAGAGAGAGAGAGAGAGAGAGAGAGAGAGAGAGAGAGAGAGAGAGAGAGAGAGAGAGAGAGAGAGAGAGAGAGAGAGAGAGAGAGAGAAAGAGAGAGAGGGAGAGAAAGAGAGAGACAGAGAGGGAGAGAGAGAGAGAGAGAGAGAGAGAGAAGAGAGAGAGAGAATTATCGGTGGCGCTAGTTGTTGTCCGTTGCCCAAAGCCAGTGCTTGTGGCGCAAGTGCCTGTGAACATTCACTTTGAACGCCTGCATTTTCTTAACCTGGAGGTTGGCGAGCATCTCTGCTGGGAGGCTGTTCCACACTTCCACGAGGCAGAAGGGAAATGACCGGCGGATGTAGTTAGGGCACTGTGTGGGAGGTCAAGCTTCAGGTAGGCAGGGTGGCGGCTGGCGTCGAGCTGCCGTCTAGTCTTGGGGTGAGGCCGTGGCGGTTCCGGAGGTGGAAGCATTGCGGTGAGTTGCGCTGGGCCATCAGTGGAGCGTAGCTTGTACAGGTACGTGAGGCCAGCAACCGAGCGGCGTAGACTGAGGGAGTCCAGGAGGGTGCCTGGGCCGATGATGTCCAGAGCCCTCCTCTGGACTCGATCTAGGTGATCGAGATGGGTCTGGCAGGCGCCCATCCAGACCAATGGGGCATACTCCAGGACTGGGCGTACGAAACCTTTGTACAGTGCCAGGCGGCCGCCCCGAGGCAGGACGTGGGCAGCTCGTCGGAGAAAGCCCAGTCGTTGGCTTGCACGAACTGCGACATTGTGGAGGTGGTTGCGGAATGACAGCTTGGCATCAAATGAGACTCCCAGGAGTTTAAGGGTCTCAGTCTTTGCAACTGGGGTACCTCCAAACGTTACAGGGTCCAGCGCTGGGGTTTCTGATCTCGTGCTGATCACCAGTTGCTGCGATTTCTGTGGCTCGAAGCGGATGCGCCACGATTCTCCCCACAGGTAGAGGTGGTCGAGGGCCCCCTGGAGCCTGTGTCCGGGGTTTGCAGGGCCGTCAGTTGGTAGCACGAGATGGTACAGTGTAGTATCATCGGCGTACGTGCTCAGCTTAGTGCCTGGTGTTAGGCACTGGTCGATGTCACAGACGTAAAGGAGGAAGAGCGTGGGGCCTAGTATGCTACCTTGTGGCACACCAGCTGTGATTGCAAGCGGTGTTGATGCTTGCCCGTGTATAACCACTTTGAGCTGGCGATTCGAGAGGTAATTCGTGAGCCACTGCAATAATTTCCCTCCAAGGCCGATTTGTGCTGCCTTGTGGATCACCCCTGCATGTGACACACGGTCAAATGCACCGGCGATATCCACTGCTATCACCTGGGCATGGCCCCCAGCAGCAACTGTGCGGACCCATTCATTGTACAGCGCCGTGAGGACATCAGCAGTGCCCCGGTTCGGACGGAAACCATACTGGGTGTCAGGAAGTACGGAGTGTCTCTCCAAGTAGTTGGTGATTTGACTGTTGACAATAGCCTCCATGACCTTGGATAGAACGGATAAAAGAGAGACTGGGCGATAGTTGGCTGGTGCTGACCGCACGGCATTCTTGTAGACAGGGACAACGTGTGCTAGCTTCCAGATTGTTGGTTGGACACCATGGCGATAACAAAGCGAGAACAATTGCGCGACAATTGATGACAGTTCAATGGAACAATGCTTCAATACTTGAGCTGGTATCCCGTCTGGGCCCGTTGCTTTGGAGGTATCCAACTTGGCCAGGCGACGACGAACCTCGCGAATGTTGGATAGAGCCTCGTACGCATGTCAGGTAGATCTTCGGGACGTAGATCCGTTTGACCGAGGCTGCATTTGTTGGCAAAATATCGAGCAAAGCAGTTAGCTTTGTCCTTGCTTGAGTGATACTCTGTTCCGTCGTTATTGATCAGCAGGGGTATGTTTGATGATCGGGAGATTCCTGCTGCTTTCTTAGCATTAGACCACCATTCCTTGTCACTGAGGGACCGGGAGCTTAGTTGCCGCCGAACACGGTTGTCACTGGCAGTGCGGGCTGACTGCAAGGTGTGAGCAGCATTGCCGACAGAGGCAATAAAGGAGGCCTTCAGGACATTATTGGCAAGGTTCCTCCTCCATGCTTTCCAACATCTCTCCTTGGCCTCGACAGCGGAGCTGTATTCTGGTGTCCACCAAGACGGGTCGGATGGCCGGGTAACGAGTACCTTGGAGGGAATATACTGCTCCATTCCGCAAAGAATGGCAGCAGTCACTCTTTCGCACGATTGATTGGGGTCATCGGATAGCAGTGAAGGCCAGTCTAGCCTACGGAAATGTGCCCTCAGCCGGTTCCAGTCGGCATAGGCATAGCGCCAAACCTTGCGGGAGGTGGTAGGTTCCCGCCTCGGGTCTACTGCTTGGAAGTTAGAGACCACTACAGCGTGATCGGACCGCCCGAGGGGAGCATGGATTGAAGTGGACACTGGGGTGGAAAAATCGGATAGGATTAGGTCCAAGGTGTTTGATCCCCTAGTGGCATGTGGCACATGCTGGGCGAGTTGGTGGGTTGCGCATAGCACCTCAAGTGACTCTCCAGCAGGAGTTGTCTTAATGCTCTGCAGCCATCCAGCGTTATGCACATTGAAATCTCCCGCCAGAATTAGGTTTGACCCCAGGTGCCGGACATTGTCGAGAACACTTTCCAGGTACTCCATGAGAGAAGTGTCAGTCTCGGCACATGATTCTGGTCGGTAGATAGCACCAAGGACAGTGCGGCGCCCGTCGTTCGTGGACACTGATGCCCACAGCACCTCCTGTGAGCCGCAAGCGACATGGGTGAGCTGAGTAACCCAGAGCTCTGATTTAGCCCAAATAGCTACACCACCTCCTGCCTGATTTCGGTCTTTGCGAACTACTGTGTATCCAGGTACGAGTGTATCAGAGTCCAGAGTGCTCTGTCCATACTTCATTTCCGTCACTACTGCGACATCAATGTTGTGTGTACGGACTGCGTGCTGCAGCTCGCCAATTTTGTTGGACATAGTGAAGGCATTGGTGAGGAGAATACGAACGTGTTTGGCCATTTTAGTGAGATTTCTTAGGCGGCAGTCGTCTCAGCGGTGGCGGCTGCATGGGCAGCTGGGGTTGTTCGTCTGAACTGCCGTTGCCTGTCTCCGAATCATCAGGAACTATGTCAGTGCCAGAGTCCATGGCTTCACCAGTACCGCTACCGCCAGGAGGCTCCCAGTTTGGTCCTTCAGAGGTGGTTGTTGTTGCCAGGGATCCCTCAGAGGCCAAGTTGCTGGTGGGGTGACCCTGTTGTGTGTTGTTGTCATCCTTGCTGTTGCCGCGGGGATTCTTGTCGTTGCCCTGGGAGCGCCGGGGGTTCTGTTCAAACACCCATGGTCGAGCATAGGTTGGACGTGGCCAGAATGTAGGGCCAGTAATCGTTGGCGCATCAGTTGCGTTGACGGTGATTCGAGCACGGACTTTACCCAGCTTGATGAACAGCTTGCAGTTATGGAGTGTAAACTCCTTGAGGGCCGAGTTGATCCACACGTGTGGACAGGTAAGCAGTCAGTGTTTCCTCAGTTATGTCGTCTCTCAGGTTTCCAATCCAGAGGACCACTCGTCGCTTTCCTTTGCTGGGTGGGATCTTTGTAACCAGTTCCCAGAGCCCGTCAGTGTCACAGAGTGGTGGAACTGGTACCGATGGCTGGGGGTCGCTGGGGGAATCAGTGGGCTTGGGCTTGTCTTCCATTTGATGGGTTTGGACTTCTTGGGAAGGCTGGTTCTCTTTTTTGTTTTTCTGCATTTTTTCTTTTTTTTTAGGAATTTTCAGATTTTCGTCCTGAGTATCAGCATCCTGAGCTTTCTCACAGTCAGGTTGTGGGCGCTGGAGGAGTTCAAACTGCGACTGCAGCGCTTGAAGCTGGGAACTCAGGTCTTTGATTTTCCTCAGCAGATAAGCTTCTCTGTCAAGTGAGGCACTCACTTCTTGCGTGACTAGCTTGAGAATATTCTCCAGCGTACTTTCAAATCTGGGCAAACAGTCCACCAGGCGCAGGTGGTCCCCGCAAACTCCAGAAACTCCACCTATACTAGCCCTTGAACCTGTGGAAGAGGGCATGTTCTTTGGCCCTTCCATGTCCATCACAGGATGGGCGTGGAGGGGAGTAGCTACAGAGCGAAAAATTCTAAACTAACTTGAAAAAATTCAAAAATTGCATCCTGATTGTAGTATGTAAGTTTCACGATAACAGTGTGAACAAGGTGGACTACCCACTCAGGGCCACTGTATAAAAACAATGCAACACAATATTGTGGAAAGGTGACAACAATAAGAGACAAGATCAAAAGGAAAGCTATCTCTTTTTCTGTCACCAGTTAATCCCATATATAGGATTAGACTTCAAGACGCATTTGCAGCCTCGAAAATGGTCTAGGTGGAAGCCTATGTTATTGAAGATGCATTTTGATCTTTCCCACAATGCCTCTCTTTATTTAAAATGAATGAATAGAGGTTACTCACTGGCTAAGACCTCCAGGAAAGGTATCTGTGTGCAATTATTGCTGATGAATTGCAATTACAAGTGGTAGAAATAGACTAGGAGTGGAATAGATGAATATTAGCACCATCCTGGCATTGAAGTAGTGTTGTAAAGTGCTCGCAGATCAATATGAACTAAAGACACTACATGTTTGGTGCATTTGCTAAATCAGTTGTGTTCAAGTATGTACACATATTAATAGTGGAATACTCTTTGGTACTAGCCTAGGAGGTGCTTACTCTTTAGCCATGATACATAGAATGTTTTTGTTAGCTCCATATGGGCTATATCTAGGCTTGGATATTGCCAACCATGGTTTTTATTGACAGGGGCAACTGGGAAGAACAAAACCAATTTTTGAAGGGGTCAAATCCTATATATAGGATTATGAAAATTCTGGACACCTTTGCACGGGAAGGCCTGTTACAGAAAAAGTAAAGCCCTTGTGCTGGTGAAACGTGGCAGGCATCATCTCTGATAAACACGGAATGCAGACTCCAGCAGGTTTTTGAAGAAAGAACTTTACTTTGTGAGGTATGATCTACCTTTTCCCGAAAATTGGAAAAATCCTATAATATATAGGATTTGACAGACAAAGATATACAATAATAATAATAAAAAAACGTAGAGTCACCTCCATCATTAAACTGCGAGCACAGTTTAATGGTGGAGGTGACTCAACATTTTCTTCAATGGCCGAGAGCTCTGTCGCAGCCTGTAATAAAAAAAACGTAGCCTGTAAAATGTAAAGAGTCACTGAGTACAGTTATTCAATATCCATGTCCACTATTTACGAATTTGTAGCCAAGAGACCGTTTTCGAGTAGTGGTGTGTAACTGTGTGAAACATGAAGTGGCTACAGACTACAGTGGAGTCTGCACACCCTTAGCAAGGTGTTGACAGTATTTATAATAAAAATAATCTGAACTTAGAAGTTGCGACTTCGGCGGTAATAGTCATGAAGTTGATTGTTCCAACTAGGAACACACGCTTCTTGCCGAACTTGACACTTGACTGACTCACGACTGCCGTCCGGAGCACACGAGCAGCACTCCGCTCCTCCCACTCGGCAAACCTGCGAGAAAGCACTACTCCCTGCTCAATACACAGTGTTTCGGGGAATTCACCCCTCATCAGTTTGTATCCCTGGTGATGGTTTGGCCTGGAGAGCAGTATAAGTGGTGCCTTTCAGGCACAATCTTCCTCAGCCTACTCAAGCTCAACTGATGAGGGGTGAATTCCCCGAAACACTGTGTATTGAGCAGGGAGTAGTGCTTTCTCGCAGGTTTGCCGAGTGGGAGGAGCGGAGTGCTGCTCGTGTGCTCCGGACGGCAGTCGTGAGTCAGTCAAGTGTCAAGTTCGGCAAGAAGCGTGTGTTCCTAGTTGGAACAATCAACTTCATGACTATTACCGCCGAAGTCGCAACTTCTAAGTTCGTAGTGTTGTCCCTCACGCGGACGTGCGACTAGTTGTTGGAGGTGACAGCGTTGCGAATAGCTATACTGGCTCTCAACGTCTGTTTAGCACAACTCCATGAGCGACTCTGACTCACGCTGCTACCTGGAGCTTCACGAGGTGTTTGTAGCGCAGGAAACAAAGCGTCTTTGTATCCCTGGTGATCCCTGGTGAGGTTTGGCCTGGAGAGCAGTATATATGTGGTGCTTTTCAGGCACAATCTTCCTCAGCCTACTCAAGCTCAACTGATGAGGGGTGAATTCCCCGAAACACTGTGTATTGAGCAGGGAGTGGTGCTTTTTCGCAGGTTTGCCCAGTGGGTGCGAAGTGCTCCACGTGTGCTCCGGATGGCAGTCGTGAGACAGTCAAGTGTCAAGTTCGGCAAGAAGCGTGTGTTCCTAGTTGGAACAATCAACTTCAAAATAATCTGCTGTAATTTATAGATTCTCACATGCGAGCAACCTGGGCCTCAGCAACAACCAGCTCAGCAGACGACCCACTGTATGGGAAAACAGTACTCCAGGCTCACTGCAACCATACACCGGTAGCCGGGTAGGGTCTCGATCTTGTGCCCATTTGAACCGTATGGGGCTATACCCCTGTTCAGACACTCATTATTCTATTGGAGCATTATAGGAATATTCCCTGATCTCGTGGTCCAAATTGTCGCAAGACCGAGCCCGCCAACCAGTTTATGGTTTCAGTTATGAACACTGTTTCTCATACAGTAGGTTCTCCGCCTTGTTCACGCTGTCATCGTGAAAACATGTTCAACGTATCAGGAAAGGCTCACATACATATAGACCATAATTGTAGTACAGTGGTCCCTGTATAATCCCACACCATTTGTGCTACGGAAATTCTGCTGGCTTGGGGAGGGTGCTGGATTAGAAAATCTGATATACTGCTGCAATGTGCATGAAGAGGACATTTTTAGTAACTGAAAATTGTGCTGGTTTATAGAGGGTGCTGGTTAATAGAGGGTGCTGGTTAATAGAGGGTGCTGGTTTATAGAGGGTGTTGGTTAATAGAGGGTGCTGGTTTATAGAGGGTGCTGGTTTATAGAGGGTGCTGGTTTATAGAGGGTGCTGGTTTATAGAGGGTGCTGGTTTATAGAGGGTGCTGGTTTATAGAGGGTGCTGGTTAATAGAGGGTGCTGGTTTATAGAGGGTGTTGGTTAATAGAGGGTGCTGGTTTATAGAGGGTGCTGGTTTATAGAGGGTGCTGGTTTATAGAGGGTGCTGGTTTATAAAGTGCTGGATTATAGAGGGTGCTGGTTTATAGAGGGTGCTGGTTTATAGAGGGTGCTGGTTAATAGAGGGTGCTGGTTTATAGAGGGTGTTGGTTAATAGAGGGTGCTGGTTTATAGAGGGTGCTGGCTTATAGAGGGTGCTGGTTTATAGAGGGTGCTGGTTTATAAAGTGCTGGATTATAGAGGGTGCTGGTTTATAGAGGGTGCTGGTTTATGAAGTACTGGATTAAAGAGGAACGACTGTAGTGGTACCGAATACTACCGATTCCCTGGAATGGAGTCAGTGAATCACTGGTTCATTCATTGACACGTCTATGATCTAGATATATCCTGTCAAAGTTGTCACGGCAATGACATCATGTGTGCGACGAAAACTAATTCAGTTTTTCATAGTTTTTTTTTCGTTGAATGAATGGAATTAATAATAATTATTATTTTATGACTTGCTGGAAGTTTTTTGGTCAGTGTATCCAAGTCGTGATCGAGGCAAACGTCAGGTCGTTGAATATCAGTATCATCAGTGAATATTGTGGCAAATGTCACACGTTCTTAACCCGACATCATTTTGGCAATAAGTTAGTGGACAACAACGCATACTGCGGTGTAAACCTTTGTTCTTTGCTTCTTCTAAGTAATCAGTCTATTCTAATCTTGTCTTCAGATCAGACTGGTAAAGAGCCATGCTTCTCTCACCACCATCGTCTATACTTTACGCACGTCGCCTAGTAGATGCATGGCTGGTGATACTTACATAGCTTCATTCAACTACGACGCCTGAGGCAGGTTTGAGATTTTTTAGCTCCGTAGTTTTTCGTAGTTTTTCGCA